TTAACTATTAACTTTAAACTTTTTAAAATGTTTTCCATTAACTTAACTCAGTTAAAAATTATCATTAACTTGCCCAGGCTTGGTAGGTATACATAACTCATAAATTTAATATGATAAAACACCGTTCAACGCACATAATATTAACGTATCGTCCCATTAATGCATTAAACAAGATGTTGTGGCGTATCGTCTTAGGGGATAGCAAAATTATATATAGTTTATACTCACCGCAACAGGTTCTCGGCGCCTTCACGTAACCGCAGCTCCCGGTCCATCTGCCGGTTCAGAGCAGACCGCGCTCGTTGCAACTTTGCCCGGCAAGTGGCTGCCTTCGGATCCGTACCCTACATAATATGACCACGACCAATTGAAAACATTWATAAACAAAAATCATATCGAATTTTAGCTATAGTTTATTGTGTATACAAAGGTGGCACATTCCCACGTGGTTGGTAGTGTTGAATTCGGGAAACACAGCGTTTGTGTATAGGTACCTATACCGGCTATACCTGTACTTAAAAAAACCGTAAAGGTGTGCACTATGCCATATATCTTATATTATATTTTGTGGTGAAATAGCCTCTAAATCTAATAAAGAATATAACTACAATAAAATTGATTTCTCGGTCCGCTTTCTATGCAGCTGTGAGGTAGATACGACTTGGGGAGTCTCCTCTGATGACTGTTGTAGTGTTATAAATTATGTTACATAGGCAAGCTGTTACCGTTCGCTGTTACAAACTATAAATTCGTGTWCGTATTATAAGTGTACAGTCACAGGCTCACAGCGCAGTATCATCTGAATGTGTATATTCATTAGTATATTATTATTACAACGCTCTTTGTACGCAATCGTATGTTATGTCGGCGATAGAAAAACATATATAGATAGGTACACATTCATTTACACTGCTGGTATTATTTGTGTACTACTGTCCTACAACTCGCAACAGGTAGGTGCAAGGTGATATATACCTACATAATATAGTATATTAGTGTAAGTACTATACACTCGTCGTCACAGCCGCGTTTCGAAACTATTGTCCTGATAAACGGGTACATTGTAACGGGTTGACACGCGTTTTATATAGGTTTATCAATTAAGTACAATTTTTATCGCYACTACAGCTGACGGCATTGTATAATTCCTCTGCAATAATAATGTATAATTATTGTTGTGTACCTATCAACCTACATCACACTCTCTCTCGAAACTCTGAAGTATATAGGTATCATGTCCAATGAACATCCTCACAACAGGTACCTAAAATACAACTTATAAATTCAACTCATACCATATTATGCGTGTAATATAATATTTCATTAGGTATATTTCCTCGTTTCTTTAAATCGCACGATATGTTTACCTATATTTATGCAGACACGTTTTYCAAGACTACACTGTATACTACGTTCTTTTCGTTTTAATCAATTATTATTTACACATTTATATTATGTGTGCGCTCTCGGGCGACCGAGTTAGGCATGTACAGATTTTCAGGTATATATGCCAGGTATATATGAATAGTTTCTGGCATCTTTAGATACAATGGTAATATAGGTACATACTAATAATATAGTAGTGGAAGCAGCGATAAACACCGGTAATAATTTAGGACGGACCCGTTATACATGCACAGTTACACGGTCTATGATGGGAGGACCCGCGAGCGGGAATCTTGTGCACGCACACGCACACACAAACACGCACATAAACAAACACA